GTGTGGTTGATGCCAGGGAAAGAGGCTGCAGGTCTGGCTGGCTGGGGCTGAGCTCTCCTGGGGGTTTTGGGAGCCAGCTCTCCCCTTTCTACATCAGCCCTTACTTGCAGCCCCCGTTGCAAGCAGGTCACAGGGGCCAAAGGGCTCACCTGCCACCTCTTGACTTGGGAGCATCATTAGTGGTTGACTGGTGCTTTTTGGCTGGGTGCTGAGGTTGGAGTGCAGTAACAGGCTTTACATGGAGATAAGGCTGAGCAGTGGCCTGAGGGGAATTGGACAAATCTCAGTATTCCCTGGATGCTCTCAGCCTGAGGAGAGCCCTCTGCCTCATCCAAGCCTGGGGCAGCATCCTGGCTCCCCATTCACCTCCTGATGGGGTGGCTTTTTCTCTCTGAGGTCTCCAAGTCGCTGTGTCTGTTTTGCCCCAGCCCTCTGGTAGGATGAGCCCTTTGCATTTTTTGTCTTCTGCCTGGTTCCCTGGAGCAGAGAGGGACAGGGTGAGAGAGGCAGGGAAGAGGGATGGCATTGAAAATGCACCAAAAAGAGCAAAGAATTGGTGTGGGACAGCAGGAGTTGTAGGGAATCGTGCTCCAGCACAAAACTTGCTGTTTTCCACAAGCTGCCAGATCAGCACCTTGCTCCAAAGGAGATAACCAAAGGTTTTCCCTGCTCCTGCACCCCAGAGAGGTGGTGCCAGGTCAGTGCTGGAGATCAGAGATTTTCCTCTGAAGATGCACAGGTTTTGTCCACTCGAGCTGTGGTGGCATCCTGGGAGCAGGGAAGTGCTCCAGGTCCCAGAGGGATAATGTCACTGTGAACCCTCTGAGCAGCTGCCTGCCCCATTCCCCAGCACAGATGCTGGTCTTGAGAGTCCTGCCTGAAGCCTCTGGACCAGGGAAGCACCTGGGTCAGTCTCTTGTTTCTGCCCCTCTCTGGACATCAAGGCTTTCCTTGGGGTTTTATTCCCCTTCCATAAATTCTGTTTTCAAAGCAAGTGCCTGCTCTGTCTTACATCATTTGCAGAGATGAAATCACTCTGTCCCTGCCCAAAGTAAATTGGAGGGAGGATGGTAGAAATCTATTTTTTCTGTTATGTTGGTTTTTTTGGTTTTTTTTTAAGAATTGCCTTAAAAGCAGAGAGGGGAATACTTTGCTTTCTTGACAAGTTTACAAGGTTTTGGGAACACCTGGAAGTACTTGAATTACGCCAGTTTGGATAGAAAAAGTGACTATTGACTCTGGAGTTGAGTTACTGCTGACAGTTACAAAGTCAAATGACTCTTTTTCCTTTCCCACTGTACCTCCTGTCAAGCTGATCTATTCCAAGAGCGGTTTGAGTTTTCTTTCCCATCAGAAAACTGTCACCAGACGGTCACAGCAGTTACAAGAAGATTTTATTTTTTTTCATGGCTTTGCCTCTGGGGTGAGAAATGAAAGGGAGGAGTGATGCTCTGGGAAGGGCTGGGTACCTGCTGGCAGGGAGATCAGAACAGGTGTCGGTGTTCTGCCTCTTCCTTTTTCTCTTTCTTTTTTTTTTTTTCTTCTTTTTTAATAGTGTGCTCATTGCTTTTCTCTAAGCATTGTCTCCTTTGCCTTCTCCTCACAGTCCCAGCATCGGGGCTGGGATTCCTTCCAGACCTTTGTCTCATGGTGACACTCCAGTGTCTGCAGCCGACTGGGTGCAGTCTGTGCTGGTCCCACGAGGTGGTTGGTGGCTGAAGGTTTCACACTGGCCATTTGTGCCCCTGTGCTGCCCAGCTCCATGACTCCTGACGATCCATAGGTTGGGTTAATTACCCATCCCAAGCATTTTTCCCCACCGCCCCCAGCCTACTCCTGGTGTGTCCACATTGCCATTGCACTGCAGCTGAGCTTTGAGGGGGTGCAGCCTCAGCTGTTGCTTTCTTTTTTTGGGAAAGTTCAGCTGGAGCAATGGATGCAAAGGAGGCAGTGTCCAGGCCTGTGGCTCTGCTCCCAGAGGATGCTGTGCCCACACTCTGTCTCGGTGCCCCTGTGACTGTCACCACCTTTGCAGTGGGGTTTTGCACAAGCTCTGGTGTAAAGCATCACAATTCTTGTTGTGTGTGTGACGAGTCCTGTAATGTCACCGTGTGAGTGTCAGCCAGACAGGGCTTTTCAGAAGGGAGTCTGACCTCTGGTCACGTGTGGTTTCTTGGGGTGGAATCCATGTGCTCCATCACGGGGCTGGAGGAGAGCAATCTGCCACGTGGGGACAAAACACAGGATCAAACGTTTTTTCCAGCCCTCGGGGCTGTGCAGGTAACCTAAAAATACAGCTGGAATGTGGCTGGGCGGTGACATCCTCCCGGAGCTGCAGCTCAGGCCTCGTTATCTGTCCCTTGCACAGAGCCTGGGTGTGGCTGTGAGCCCCAGAGGTGGCCGTGCCAATGTTGGCTCTGGCTGTCGGTGGCTTTGCCTGTCCCCATATCCCTGGCTGGGCACTGGGAGGTCACACTCTTCTGCCTTGCATCAGCCTCACCCAGCCCTGGTGGCACCGTTGGTGTGACATCCTGCTCTGCTGGGGGGCACGAGTCCTGCGTGGTGTTGTGAGTGATTGACCCCCAAACACCGTCCGAGGGGGTGAGAGAGATAACCCTGTTCCCTTTCCGATTGGATTCACTTCAAAGGCTCTATTTTAAAACAGAGCTGCTGAGTTTCCAGGCTGAGTGTCCCGTGCACGGCTTGGGCACGTGGGGCTTTCCCATGGGATGTGTGCCTTGTATGTGGAAAGGCGAGCGCATCCTAAGCTTAGGGCAGTGGCTGCATTACAGGCTTGGTCAGGAAAGCTGCTGCAGTTCCCAGTTGGATGGTGAGATGTGGTGGGCATCAGGCAGTGTGGTGCTAGGACGGTGCAGCCAGCTGGTGCATGGGCTCTTCTCTGATAAAGGGTGTGAGGTATTCCGTGAAAATCATCTCCTCTCCCTGGTTAGCCACTGACTCTTCTTTCAGGACAGGTGAAGTCATCCATTTTGTGCTCAATCCCAAAAATGCCTACAAAAAGCTCCTTTCCAACACCAAATGGAACATTTCTCTTTTGCTGCTCATGGCAAAGCAGCTCATCCCCATCCCCGGTCCCTGGCTGAGGTGGTGACCTGGCCCTAACCAAAGTTGCCTCAGGAGAGGCTGCCTGTGTGCAGGGGAAGGGTGGGGAGAGGGGCCCGGTGCTGGCAGGGCACTGTTTGAGCTCATTGCTGTTTTTAAGGGTGTGCTCTTCCACTTATTCAAGCCGGCCCACTGGCAGGAGGCTGCTGGGAGGGATGGGAGCCATCCTTGTCCCTGGCTCTGCCAGGGTGTGCCAGACTCTGTGGCGAGTGCCTGACTTCTCCCCATGGCAGGACTTGCTCCCCCAGCTTCCCTCACCCATCACAGGGTGACATCCCAGCACTGAGGTATGGGAAGGCTTCATTAATGCCAGTGAAACACCCACTGCTTTTTGCTCCTCCGGGATTACCCGTGGCCTGTAAAGGATTGGATAATTAATGGCAAAAGGTGAACGTTTTTTAAGGCCGGACAATTCCTACTGTGCTGGCAAACTTTTGAAAGGGCTGCCAATGGTGAGACTTGAAAGGATGCTTGGGATTGTTTTCGTTTCTTTTGTTTGTTTGTTTGTTTTTTAAGATGCTTTCGAGATGTCGGGAAGCTCTGCTCTACACCACCTCTAGTCCTCGGGCGCTGAAACCCAGCAGGACTAATTCAAAGGAAATTGTCTTTCCCATCCCACCTGCTGGGTTAGGGACTTTCTGCTCCAGAGCAGCTCTGACTCTGTGGGTGTCTGTGAAGATCCCTGGAGTGTCTATGTCTGGGAAAGGGGGAATTAGCTGCTAAGAGGGTTTGTGATGGGAGGACAACACAGCATCGCTCTCCCCGGTAGTGCCAGGGACGGGTGCTGGTGGCTCTCAGTGCCATCTGCAATAGCAGCTCCTGCGTCAGCATCCTTTATGTGCTGATGATCTGTGCTTGAAACTATACCCTGGGAGTGGAAATGAGCCTGAGAAAATACCTTCCGCAGTCCTTCTGGGGCTTACATAAACACTATTTAAAATTAGAGCCACTCATTATGTTGGTATGTGCATTTACCTTGACCTCTGACTTTTCAGCTTGCAAATGTGCATGGCCCAGCACAGCCTGGAGTTGGGAGAGAGCTCAGGAGCAAAGCACCAGCAGATTTTCTATAATTAGTGCAAGGTAAAGAAGCTGGTACAGTATCTTCCCCTCCAGGCTGTCAGGGAAATCGAAAACAAAACTGCAGCCTGTCAAAGCTGAGCCTGGCTTTGATCAGGAATGACAGCTCTGGCTTCTGCTGGGCTGGTTCTAAGGAAAAGGGGAAGAGCAGCGACACTTTGCTACAGCTTTTCTTGCACGTGTTTGCAGAGAAACGAATGCTTTTATTCCCCCACTCTCCCCTGCTATTTCCCACCCAAATCCACGCAGCGATTTATATTTTACCACCAGAGATGCCGTCTCGGTTGTCACCCTGGAATAGCTGCTAAGCCCCGTGCCGGTATTGTCATGGAACAATATTTCTACTATTTGTTGTGGTAATAGTTGTTAGTGGCAGAGCAATTAACGTGTCACCTGCAGCACAACGAAATGTGACCTCTTTCCATCCTGGCACCCCCTCTGGTGCCCAAGCCAGTGAGTGTGGGCTCTGCTCTGCTCTGCTCTGCTGGCTTGTGCCAGGGCTGTCCCGGGGCAAGGGTCGCTCTGGTGGGATGCCTGGGCCTGCAGGCTGGGTTTGAGTGACTCAGTTTGTCAGAAGAAAACGTGTCCCACCGGGATGCACTGTGGCAATCCAGCGCTTCGGTGGCTCCCGGAGCTGGAGCTGGAGCTGGCTCCCCACCAGTTTCCTGTTGACGTCACCTGCTATTTCACTGCTGCAGTTTTTACAACTGTTGAGCTTTCAAGGGTAATCGGAGCCGAGTCCGGCCAACCTCGGCAGCTGCCGATGAGGGAAGGCGGCTCTACCTTCGCTGGCTCCCCCCAATTGCTTCCACTGCTGCTCCCAACCTTGGGGACCGCTGGGAGCTGGGGACAGCAGGCAAGGAGAGCTGTGTGAAGCCAGCGAGTGCTTGGGGCCATGCATTCCCACTGAAAAGAATCATCAGTGCTTGCAAGAAGTGCTGTGTGCTGGATCCTGCGGGAATTTTTTCCCCTCCCTCCGCCAGTCCGCCCCCATCCCTCTCTTCTGCCAGGCGTGCCAGCGCTGCTCTTCATTTCTGGGAAACCATGGACAAGAAGCAAGGTAGATGTTGCAATTTCCAAAACACGTGGTGGGGGAGAGCAGAGGGCTGGTTTTGGTGCTAAAAGAGGCTGTGTAACTTTTTGGGGTCAATCCATGCGGTTTTGTTGCTTTCTCCTTGCTTGGGCGGGGGGCCGGCGTTTGCAGCTGGGGATCTATTTTTAAAGCACTGGAAGCTTGCATGTTTTGTGTGGGATTAAAACTCTGGTGTCTTAATTGTAGAAAAAAAGTATAAAATAAATAAAAATCTAGCATGTCTGAAGGAAAATATGCAGAGGGTGAAGCTGGCTCCTGGCTCCGGTTTGAGGTGCATTCCTGGGACGCAGGGTTTTCCAGAGGCTTTTGCATGCTTGTCCCGTACTAAAAAGCCTGTTGCATGGGAAAAGTGGGTGCCCATGACCCCAGCAGTCAGGAGCTCTGATTCAGCACAGGCTGACAGGTTGTTTTAGGGCTGCAAGGGGCTTTTTCTGCAGCGTGATTTTTTCCTTCTCCCTGCTGGCAGTTTTTGCAGAAGTGAGGAGCGCGGGGCGGCGATGACCCGCCTGAGCCCCTCTGCAGCGGGACCTCGGCGGGCTGATGAGTGATGGCTTTCAGCAGGTTGAGAGCCCTTTTTCCACTTCCACAGGCAGCTTTTTCCACTCTCAACAGTGGAAAAAAGCACGAAGTGTGCCTGTGAGGAGCTGGCTCTCATGACCAAGCACCCAAATTCCCCTCTCTGCTTTGCACCCTGCCTCAAATGTCTTTATTCTTTTTTTTTCTCTCTTGATGCTTTTTGGTTCCAGCTCTTTCTTTGCAGCAGGGCTGGGATCCACCCTCCAGCCTTCTGCCTTATCCATGGCATTTGACTCTCCTCCTCGGATCGAGGAGAACCGGGATGCATCCCAAACATTTCCCCCAGCACTAACAAAGCGGTGCAGCTCTCGGAGCAGCCTCTGACTTCACCTGGGGCTGCAACCAGAGCCCCGGGGAGGCAGCGAAGAGGTTTAATTTCAAAGGTCGACTCAGGCAAATAGTTTTATTTGCAGTTCTTTAGATTGTCCTGCTCCTTTCTCTCCGCCCACGCCAGCGGAGTGGGAAGGATAAACCTCCCGGGGAGAGGTGCAACTTAATAGGGCTGAAGTTAGTGGTGGCAAAGATGAGGATTCCGGTGTAGAATTAAGCAGTTCCAGGAAGTGTCTGTGGCGGTTCTTGACTGGTGGAGGTTATAGCATGAGAAAAAAAATTGGTAGGCTTTTTTTTTTTTTTCTCTCTTTAGGAGGAAATGGTTCCTTTCTTAGCATAAAGGATGCAGTTAGTGCCTGCAGCATCACGTGGGTTGCAATTTCGTCTGCACCAGGAACTTCTGTCAGCTAATTTTCCCCTGCCCTGAGTGCAGGGCGCTGTGCCGTGTGTGTCCACAGCCAGCAGCCTCTTCCACTGCCCAGAGCAGTGCCCTGCCATCCCATGGGCTCTGGGCTGGCAACAGAGCCCTGGGGCCTGCGGGGATAACTGTGACATGTCCCCAGATCGCCTCCTCCTGCTGGAGGGATCTTCTGAGAGGAGCCGTGTTCTGTGCTTTCAGACACCCCTCTTGTAAGAACCTTGGGAAACTGGAGTGTTCCCAGGGTTTTAAGGTGTCCTAAGCAGTTGTGCACATTCTAGCAATTCCTCCTGCACTGACCCTGCTGGGATCCCAAATGTGAGAGAGACAGCGCTGGGGGGGCCTCGCCGGTGGGAAGGAGCTGACAGCAGCTGCCTGCGGGGGCTAAAAGCAAATGCTGCCCTGGGACTGAAGAGCTTGAATTGCAGGGTCATGTCATGCCCATCCCGCTGCCTTTCTGCTTCTCCTTTTTTTTCCTTTTTATCATTTTTTTTTTCCTTCCCTCCCTAGTCTTTCTCCACCCTGGTTCACCCAAACAGGGCATGGACTTTCCCTGAGGGGGCTGTAGAGGCACTAGTGCTGCAAGCAGTGGGAGAAGCTTCAGCAAGAAGGAGTTTGGGCCAGGCTGCAGGGGCTGGAAATCTCATGACAAATTTTGGGAGAGCTGTAACAGGCAAATCCAATCTCTGCCTCAGCTCCCTGGCTGCAGGGCAGCATCCAGGGTGACTTTATTCCTGCAGGCATGGGCTGAGCTGGGTTTTCTGCCAACGTAGGTGGCCCTGGCAGAGCCTGGGAGTGGTGGTGGAATACCTCCAGTTTAATCAGTGGTTTTTCAGATTGGAGCTAGGGAATACTTTTTGGGGCTAGGCTGGATGGAGTGGGAAGGAGGTGGTCACTGATGCCAGTGGTACAGTACTGGGAAGGCAAAGATAGTAGTTTGGGGGCACAGGGAAATGGGCTGATGTGCAGGGCCCCTGTTGGAGGAGAGTTCATGGCAATGCACAGAGGCACTGAATGACTCTCCTGTACAGAGCAGGGGGTTTGGGACAGGGATTCTCCATGCCCCTTGCTGCCCCTCTAACCCATGCTGCACATCGTCCTGCCTGCGAGCTTGGGCTCCACCAAACAGTGCTCCCAGCTCCCTCCGGCCTCGCTCTTGCAGACGGGGCTGAGGAAGGGCTGACGCCTGTGAGCCGCCTGGCTCCAGGAGCCCCTGGACCCTGGTCCTGCCCCGTGAGTCACCCGCGGCCGCGATGCCAGGGGAGCCGGCGGCACAGAAGGCGCTTTGTGCAGGGTTACTATGGCAATTGGGGAGAGGGAGAGCAAACAGATGGAGCAAAATCCCAGCCAGGAGGGGGGGTATTTCGGGGCTTCGTGTGGAGGTCTGGCTGGTAACTGCTGGGGGGCTGCATGTGAAGCAGGAACCAGTCTGAGTTTTGGAGCAGGTCATGGGGGAGGAGCGCTCAGTGCAAGGCTCTCGCTCAGCACCGAGGTAAATGCATCCCTTGGGATGGAATGTGTGCCCACGGTGAGCTCCCCAACTTGCCTGGGTGCAGAAGGAGTCTGGGGACCCCAGTTTTTAGGGTCCGTGCATGGCCTCCCACGGTGAGTAGCGAGAGGCTGGCTGTGGGAAGGGGAGGCATTTCCAAACCCACAGACAGCACCTTTCCTTTGACTCCGTTTTGCGTTTGCTCCCATTGTTGCTCAGCTGGGTGTTTTGCAAAGTGCCATCAGTGGGTGTGTGGGGCTGTTCATTGTGCCCCTTCCAGCCCTGCTGGGTGGGTGATGGGCAGGGGACTGTTTGCAGGCTCACAAATTAGAAGCTGTGATTGCCATGGCATGGTTGGGTTTCCAGAGGTGGTTTCCATCCAAGAGGGGTCGGTTTGGGGTGGAGTGACTTGCTGGCTGCTTTCATGGAGCTGGAAGTTCACATCACTCACAGGAATCGTGCTGGTCCCAGGCCTTACAGGCTGACTCTGACAAAGGAAAAATGGCAGATAAAATGTGGGTATAGACTGATCCATGCTGATTCCCTCAGCAGGGAGGGATGCTGCTGGTCCTGCAGTTGGGACCTTTGCAGTATGTTGCAGACCAGCTCTGACCTGCAGACTCAGTGAGGTTTGCATCTGGGGAAGGACAGGACTGGAAAAGTGAGCTCCAGGCACCTGTTTTATCTTGGAGATGGCAGGGGACAGGGATGGGGGCTGTCAGTGCTGGGAACATGTTGGACATGTGTTGTCCTCCTGTCTTGCTGCAGCTGCAGGAGCTCTCACGTGGTGCTGTGTCTCCTGCTGAAATTCCAGCTCCTTGCCTCTCCCCTCCTTTGCCTGGCAGCCTTTGGAGTGCTGGACTTTGTCCACATGCCTGCTCCTGGGAGCCAGGCAGGTAGGAGCTGTCTTGAAGGGCTATCCAAGACCACTCTGAGCCGTCTGCTCCCATCCTAGTGCCTGGAGCACACCTTGATATTCCTGCTTTTTAATGCATATTCCAGCTCTGTGCAGCCACAAGCACCTTCAACTGCAAAGTGCAGCTGCGCCTTTGTCTTGCCTGGGAGGATCAAGACCTTGATGCTCTTGGCTGCAGCACTTCAGCCCCTTGGGGTCTGGTTATTTTCTCAATGTGCAGGGGTAGAATGCAAGTGTCTGGCCTGTCTTGGCCCTGCCTGAGCCCTGTTTCCCTCTGCAGCAGTGGATGTTATCTCAGCACTGTTGGGAGTTGAGAGGAGTGGGAAGAGAGAATCTTCTTGCCAGTCACTCCTGGTGCCTTGTCTGGAGGGTCCCGGCCTCTGCAAGCCTGGGTTTGTGGTGGGTCCACTACTGGCTGACAGTCAGTTCCTGTCTGTTTTTAGCCTGTTTTCCCTTAGTCGTGTGTAGGGTGTCCCCACTCCTTCTGGGACTAACCCCTTGGTTTTGCTGAAGGTCTGGTGGTCGTTGCCTTCCATGCCTGATCCAACCCCGGTTCTTTCCAGGAGGGCCTGGCTGGGGGTTGGGGGACAAGGAACCTCTGGACAGGGAGCATTTTCGGGAACCTTGCACATCCCTAATGGCATGGGGACCTCTTGTGGCTGGAGAAACGGGGATGGGGCCAGGTTTGGCTGGGCTCCCGAAGCCCAGCTGCCTCCCTCTCCTGGGGCCCTGCGTGGGCCATGAGGGATATGCGGCTGCTGCCCGGCTGGGCTGGAGTGTGAAGGCTGAGCTGGTGTCTCCTTTCTCTCTTTCAGGTTCCAAAGGATCCTTGGAGCCACACAAACCAGGTAAGTGCCTGGAAGAAATCACAGCTTTAACCCGGAAAAAGGTTTAAATCTCCAAAGAGAGGGGACTGTTAATGGCCATGAAGGGTAAAGAGCACTTTTGGGATACAGTGCTTGGCTGGAAAATGGTCTCTGTCAGTGCACCCCTGGATATTTCTGCAGGCAAATCCTTGACAGTGACATTGAGACCCACTTGTGCTTCTTGCTCTTGCCTGAAATTTTGGGCAAAGGGTCGTGAGCACTGTGATCTTCTTGTCACTTTGCTCACTGTGGTGAGGGAGTCCAAACCCTGCATTCCCTGCCTGGTGGCTGTAGGGAGCAGGATGCTCAAAGGGGAAAAAAAGCAAAGATCCAGTTGCTCATTTGTGTATCTTCTCTTCCAGTGAAAGGCAGGAAGAAACCAGATCTGAGGATAACATGTGTCCCCATCAAACAGCCCGTTGCCAACACAACGTAAGTATCTCTGCTGCCTAAAGATGTTCTCCAGAGCTGGATTTGGCACTTTCTCAAGAGGAATGGCCTGTGAAGATTTCACAAAACCAGCACAGTTATTCTTTTCTCTTAAGCTCTGGCTTGTGAGTGATGAGAAGGAATTGCACACCTGTGCACACACGTGTGCAGGCACATGCACAACGTGTGTCTCTCTGGGAGGTGCCTGTTTTCATTTGAAATGGTTGAAAGGCAAAGGCTTGGAGACAGCAGGGAAGCTCTCCTTAATCTTTCTGCCATGGCTGTGCCAATGCCAAAGGGCAAAGGTGTGGTGGAGAGAGCGAATCTGCCCAAGGGAAGAAGAGGGGAAGGTTTTTAGTGCAGGGGAAGAGAAGAGGTGGTGACAGCTGGCCCATGGCACGAGTAGGGGGGCGAGGATTGGGGAATGCTTTGCATGGCATGAGTATTGGGGTTAGTTTGGGTTGTTTGCAGCTCCTTGCCCTGGCGTGAGGAGGACACAGACATCTTACACGGTTGTGCTGCTTGGTGCTGGTGCCCAGCAGTATCTCAGGGCACTGGAATTTCTCCCTGCCCTGTTTGCTTCGTGCTGCTGATGCTTGTTGTGCCGTGGGGGAGAGCCCAGGGCAGCAGCGCTTGGTTTGACAAAGAGCAGACGGCTAAAATTCCTCCTCCATGGTGCTCTTCCAAAACACTTCAGGCTGTGTCTCCACTGCTGAGCCTTGTTTGCTCCTGTTCTAGAGAACTCTCCCAGCTCCAGGAGAGCAGTGAAATCCCAGAAAGGGAAATATCAGTGCTGAAAACTCCAGGTAGAGAGGGCAGATCAGCTGGAGGGGGAGGCAGGGGAACTCCCCCATTAATTAAAGCTGTGCAGCCTCGTATGTAACAGCCACCTCCTTCCCCCCGGGCACATCTGTCTCCGCTCCTGCCAGCGTTTGAATTTCCCCTGGAGAAGGCCTCACGTTGGAGTCTGCAGGGTGTTTGCATGCCCAGGGGCTGGTGCAAGCTGTCCATGACTCCTTTTCTCTGTGCTTTTCAAGCTGCAGTGCAAATATTTGCACAGTGCAAGGCTTTTGCTTTGAGCCTCTAGTACTTCCTTGAAGCTGGAGGTTGCTGGTGCTCTGATGGGAATTGAGAGTTGGGCAATCTCTGCTCTTAGAAGGTCCCAGGGAATGGGGACAGCAGAGAAGTGAGGCAAGAGGTACAGAACTCTTAGGATGGCTCTAAAAGTACCGTGCTGCCCGCAATGGGAAATGGGCAGCAATGAGGAAAGAAACCATAAAGGTGACTTTCGCCTGCCTGGTGTTGTGCAAAACGTGACACCAAAGTGCTGCCTGCCCTGCCTGCCTGGAACAGGCAGCGAGTGCACACAAATGACTCACGGGTGAGGAATTACCTGTTGCTCCCTCGGTGTGTGTTTCGGGCTACGTGGCTGTCCTGTTACGACACCTGCCTGTCAAAATATGACAGCTGAGCTGCTCTGCCACAGAAACGGCTCATCCCGGCGGTCTCGGTTCCTCAGGCTTGTCTCCTGAGCAGGGATGGTTTTGTAGCCTGTTGCTTTGATGTGCCTGTCTCACCTGGCTGACTCCCCGGGGTTCTGGCTGCCTGTGTGCAGTGAGTGCCTCGTGGGTGTGAGCTGAGGTGTTACTGGCACGATTAAAGCCTTTGTGAGCGTTTGGAGGGGGCTGGTTTGAACCCACGACAAGGCACGGGGGAAAGCAGCAGCTGAAAGTGCTCGAAGGAATGTGAAACCTGGCTCTGGCCAAGAGGGTTAGTGAAGCTGGGTTCTCTCCTGACTCTCTCTCTTTTCTTGCAGGCCCCCGAGGAACTTGGACTCCAGGACGTTCATTACCATCGGAGATAAAGTACGTGTCAGTGGGGTTTTCTTTTTTACTTGCTTCCAGTGTTGTTTGCCCTGTGCATAAAAGGCTCTGTGGATTGTGCCTGACACCCTGTCAGGTCAGGTCTTGAGATTCCAGAGCACCCTGTGAGGTGGATGGTGCCCTTCTGGTGCAGCTTCTGGTGCAGCTTTGCAGGGATGAGACATCCCACAGCAGGACCTCTTCTCTGTGGAGTGATGGGGTGTCTGTGTGTATTTAGAGCAGTGACTGCTGAGGAGCTGAATGGGTCACCCTACCTGCAGGATGGCTTGTCCCTGAGCCCGTGCACTTGCTGACTGGTCTCTCTTGCCTGTGGGCAGTGCCATCAAAGGCCAGGTGGGCAGTTTGTCCATAGTGGGAGATCACAGCGGTCCCTTGACAGTCCCATCACCCACTGAATGGGTGGAGAGAAGTTGTGCATGCCTCATCCCTGAAAGTGTCCAAGGTCAGGCTGGATGGGGCTTGGAGCAACGTGGTCTAGTGGAAGATGTCCCTGCCCATGGCAGAGGGGTTGGAACTGGATGACTTTTAAGGTCCCTTCCAATCTAAACCATTCTGTGATGACCCAGCCCATCTGCCCTAAATCAGGGTGGCCTCACCATGCCCACAGACTGCCCCAAACAAAGTTCCTGTGTCCCACATACCCACAGGTCTGTGCTACTGCCTGAGGCCCAGGAGAAGCTGGGCACAAAGCTTCTCTCCATCTCTCCAAAGCCTTTCCTAGTGACCTAATGAAAAGCACTGCTAGAAATAGCCACTGTCTCTCTTTTATTTCATTCTCTTGTTATGGGCTCTCCTGGGGCTGCAGAAGCTGTTTGCAAGTGAGCTAAAAATACTCTGCATGGGATCAGCCCTATATCCAGTCCCTTCCAGGCTGGGAGGTGGCTTGGCTGGTGGGATCTGGGTCCCTTGGCCTCAGTGCAAGGTTTTAGGGTTAGGGGAGAGGAGGGGAAGCTTTGGCTGCATCCAGGGAATGATTCTGCTGCCCATGCTGTTTTCTGGCCATTGTGTCATGCATATTAATAGCTTGGGGAGAGATGCTCTCTGTGACAGCCTGGACATGATGTGTGCAAGGGGACAGTGCTGCAGCTTAGGGAAAACTCGCTGGAGTCACTTCCTTGCCTGCTCCAGTGTTTGCAGGAAGGGTCTGGTCCTGATGTTTTGGAGTGACATGGTGGAGAAGAGGACCTGGGCAGAAGGGCAGCTTTAGGCCATGGGGATGGATGATGACCTCGGGTGCATCAGATCTGTGCAGGCCATGCCGTGCATCCCATTGTCCTGGGAGGGAAGCGCTGGCTCCGTTGTTGCAATCCATCACCTCTTGTTGCTGGGCAGGGCAATGCTGGTTCCTGGAGTGTGCTGGGAACCGCCAACTTCTGGGGAAGCCTTAGGGCAAATGCCAGGAAAAGCACAACACAATAACCTGGAACAACTGCAGAACATGTGTCCAGAAAAGCACCACCAGACCCTTCCTGGAGGCCCCCGCAGGCACTGCGAGCCTGCCCTGCTCCTCTGCCAGCTGCCCGGGGCAGGAGGTCAGACATGTCCCCCTTAACCCTGCTCTCCTTGTTTCAGGATCCACTGTCCTGCCCAGGAAAGGGCCGGCACCTTCCTGTGCTGGGCAGTGCATAGCTCAGTGCTGAGCTCAGGCACAGCCCTCCCTTGCTCCTGCCTCGCCAGCCACATCTGGCTCGATCAGCAGAGCTGGGACTGGCGGGAATGTCCCTTGGAGCTGGTGGCTGCTGGCTGTGCTGTGGCCAGTGCCGAGGGGAGTTTGCTGGCCAGGAGCCCGGCAACCACATGTCCCCGCTTGGCTCCTCAGCGCCAGAGGCTGTTTCCTCTCTCCCTGCTCTGGGCGTAGCTCGCAGGCACAGCATCCGGCGCTGTGCCGTGCTTGTTTCCCACCCTCGCTGCCTTTGTGGCTACTGGGGCAATTTGGCATCCTGGTATTATTTTTGTTCCCTGAGACCGGAGGAAAACTGGAGGCTGGATAAAGCCTGGCTAAAAGGAGGCCTGTGACTTATGAGGAGCGATGAACGCAGTGTCCAAAAATAGCCCGTGTCTCACTCGGTTCGTGCCCTGCCCAGCAGAGCCAGCAATTACAGGGGAACGTGTCTGTAGGGAAACTTGTTTGTGGGTTGTGCAGGAGCTTGCTGGCACCCTGGTGTGTTGGGCATTCACTGGGCTGAGCACTGGCTGTGGGTTTTTTCCAGTTTTTTAAGCAAGACTTACTGTAGTTGTGCTTGCCTGAGCTCCATCATTGGTGCTAACTCATGTTTTACCTTGCTTTCTGGTGGTGGGAGAAAGTATCAAAAGCAGGTAAAACCCGTTGAAACTCCCCAATAATGAGGAGTTTAGTCACTGTGTGCAGCATTCCATCTGACAGAGGCTTTGCCTAGGTGTTGTTAGACATATGGGTGTATTTGTGACCAATGATTTTTGGGATGTGTGGACAGGTGAGGGATCCCCAGCTGCACACAGGGATTTGGAGCTGTGGTGGAGACTCCTGACTGCTGCCCATGTTGGCCCAGGAGCTGTTAAAATCCTGCAAGTAGTTCAGCAACCGCAGAAATACCTTTGTGTGGGTAATCCTGAGCAGGCAGAGAGGCACCAAAGGTTGGTGCCCTTTCCAGTGGCAGCGTGCCCTGGCTTAAGGGATGAAAGTCCCTGATCTCCAGCTGCAGAGGGGGAATTAAATGAGCCCTGATGAGTATGGGGGTGAGAGGGTTTGGGCTCTGATTCAACAGAGCCAAAAATACACCCATGTTCTCTAAGTGTGGTGCCTCTGGTACGTACGGGAGCGGGTGGAGTCCCGTAGGTACCGTTGTTTGGAAATGCTCTGTATGAGTGAGCTGAAAGTATGGGATCTCTGCTGATGTCCTTGTTAAGTGTGCTCGTACCTGATTTTATTTTTTTTTCTCTCTCTCTCTAAAGAACTTTGAGGTGGAGGCTGATGACCTGGTGGCAATTTCAGAGCTGGGCCGTGGTGCCTATGGCGTGGTGGAGAAAGTGCGGCACGCGCAGAGCGGCACCATCATGGCTGTGAAGGTGAGGACAGCTGCCTTCTGAGGGGATGGAGATCAGGATGTGCAGCTCCAAGGGAGCAGAGAAACTGCTGAGCTTCGCTGGTTGTGGCAAAATGGGGACAGGCTTACCTGGGTATTCCTGGGTATTTGTCTGGTGACAGGTCTGTGCTGATACCAGCTGTGGGGCACTGTGGGGTTGATATCAGGCTTTGAAATCCAGGCTTGGTGCCTGCAGTGCAAGGTTTGGATGTCAGAGTGCCTGTCCTGGCTGCTGGCCTGGTCCTGCATCCGCTGCAGAGCTTGCCAAGGGTTTGGCATTCATTAAGGTTCTGTCTGGCAGAGGGAATCTGGACATCTCCTGGGTGCTACTGGCTGCAAAATAAGCATCAAATGCTTGCCCTGAACTGCAGATCCTGTGAGTCAGACTGAGGAATGATGGTGTTATCACACCTACACCAAACCCTTGTTTTCTTATATTTGTCTCAGAGGATTCGAGCCACTGTGAACACTCAGGAGCAGAAGAGGTTACTGATGGACTTGGATATCTCCATGAGGACAGTTGACTGTTTCTACACAGTCACCTTCTACGGAGCCCTCTTCCGTGAGGTACTGAGCTGGTGGATGCCTGGGGGGCACCTGGGGCCTGTGTGATTGTGCTGAAGGCATCAGACTGTGCCAAAACACCTCTGTGCTCTTCAGCCCAGCAGGGCTGTTTGAGGTGCTGCCATGGCTCAATGTCAAAGGATTCCCTTCTTCGGGCAGCGTTGACCCGAGCTCATTCCTCACTTCCATGGCAGATGCCTGAGCATGTTGTCCACAGCCTGGACTGACTTTGGGGCAGACCCTCAAAGGGAGGCCACCACAGGTAGCTTTGGTGGCACCTGGACATCTGTCCCCATTGCTGTCTAGTGCAGAGCCCATGTGCTGATGGTGCGGCCAGTGGCAGCTGCACAGCAGGGACTTTGGTTTGCCCTGTGTGGAAAGGGCAGTGTCCCTTTGTCCATCCATCCCCACCACTCTCTTCAGCTCCCACAGACTTCCAGGGAATTCCCTCTCAGCTGATTTCTCTCCATCTGCAGGGCGATGTGTGGATCTGCATGGAACTCATGGACACCTCCCTAGATAAATTTTACAAGAAAGTACTGGAGAAGAAGAAAACCATCCCTGAAGACATTTTGGGGAAAATGGCTGTGTCTGTGAGTGCCTCTTGTGTTCTCATGTGGGTTTGTGCATCCCTTGAGCTGGTTGCAGGGCTCTGTTGAGGCCTGTGTGTGTTTGCAGTGGGAAGCTGGTGCTGTGTGTGACTAATGAATGCCTTTTCACTGTTTGTCCCCAGATTGTACGAGCTCTGGAGCACCTGCACAGTAAACTCTCTGTAATCCATAGAGGTAGGTGCTGGATGGGGTTAGTAGGATGTGGCTGGAGATCTAACCTTGAAATAAGCTATGGGAAGATTCCTTTCCAGGAGATAGGTGGTGTGTCCATCTGGGATGCCTAAAGTGGGGTGTGCTGGTACTTATTAGGACCGTGGTGGATAGATCTAGATGCCCAAGACTTGTTCCTGAGATGCATCTCTCAAGCCTCTGCTTGCAGGATGTCATTCTCTTCCTCCTTTCCAGATGAAGGGTTGAATGTAATAACTGAATTCCTCACTACATTTTTATGGGCATCTCTCTCTCGGGGAGTACCGGGGTGCCTTGGAGGCACAAAATCCCCACCTCCTCCTGGCTGGGTAGTTATAGCAAGGTGAGGGCTGAAAGAGACCTTCTAAAATCACAGATGGTAATTATAGCACCCAGGTCCTGCTGTTCATCCTGGTATATAGAGCCTTGTGTAGCTGTGAACAGATCATGATGTGCATGGGACAAACTGTCCTGAGAATTTGGTAGAATGGGGCTTTTAAGGCTGTGCTGGGCACATCAATCATTCCTAAGGAGCTGGGGATTACCTCCTCCATGTTGAATTTCAGTCTTTTTAGAGAAGAGGTTTATTCTTCCTGGAGGACGTGGTTATAGTTTACCTGTGAACGACTTTTATTAAATAAAACTGGTGGGGTTTTGCCTCGCTTCCCCTGTGTTAGAGCTGGTCTGATTCCCCTCCTAGGTCAGCAGGGAGTTGTCCATCTTGTCTCAGACTCTTCAATACCCCTGCAAAGACCCAATTTGCCCTCTTGCATTTTCTCTTAGACGTGAAGCCTTCCAACGTGCTGATCAACAAGGAGGGACACGTGAAAATGTGCGACTTTGGGATCAGTGGCTACTTGGTGGACTCGGTTGCAAAGACCATGGATGCTGGGTGCAAACCTTACATGGCTGTAAGTGCAATCCTGTGCAGCCTTCAGCCTTGACTCGAAGAGGCTGCTGCTTGGAAATCAGTCTTGGTTCACCTCCATCCTGAGATGAAAAGCACTTGAGAGTGCTCTGCTCTCCCTGACTCAGCAGAGCCCTCCAAGGATGGAATTACCCTCCCTGTAAGCCCCGCTCTGCGTGTTAATCCCTCAGTGGGCTCTTCCTCTGCCACCTTCCATTTGCAGAAGGATAAAAGACTGGCTGGTGATGGTCGTGGTGGTTGAAAGGGCTGCTCCTTGTTGGATAGAAAATGCTGAGGCTTTCCTTGGCAGGATTGTTTCATTTCATCCTCAAGTCAGTATGAATTTCCCTTTGCCATCCGTGGCATCCATGTGGGTAGTGTGTGCTCCTGAGGCAGGATTGTGCTGCAGGGGTAGTACAAGTCTCACTCTCCTGAGAAAGAGGGAGAGTTGATATGAGTTGTGTAGAGCTAGACATGTCTTTCATCAGTGCCACATTTAACCTCAGACCCTGCTTCCATGGGGATGTGAGCCAGGGAAATCCACTCAACCTGTGTTTCGGAGCCAGAGATTTGCTCTGTGGGGTTTGCGCTTGGGGAAGATGAGATGGAGTTGTAACATCTTCCATTTTGCTCTTACAGCCAGAAAGAATAAACCCAGAGCTCAACCAGAAGGGCTACAACGTGAAGTCAGATGTCTGGAGCCTTGGGATCACAATGGTAACACCAAGGGCTGGGACCTGCCTCTGCAGCCCTGGGGCTGGGACGGGGTTTGGGCTGGTGGGGCTGTACCCCTGCTGTGAGCAGTGGCAGCTGGGTGGGGACACACCAAACAGGGCTAAATCTGAGTGTGATAGCTCAGGGCTCGAGATTAAACACTCAGAGCACTGGGTGGGAGGCTGCCCTGTGCACACAGGGTACCTCACCCCAGGGCAGGTAGCTCAGAGCTGGGGTCTGCTGCCAGTGTTGCCACCACTGCTGTGGCTCTTTCCAAGTCAAGTGGCAAACTTGGCAAAATCATCCATCTTCTGTCCCGCTCTCCCTTCTGGCTTCTTCCTGATGGATTCTGGGGTGTTATTCCCAAGTGGTTCCCTTGTACCCCTCTGCCTGGTTCCACAGAGTTACTTGTGTACAATGCCAGCTCTGAAAAGCTCCACTTAGCTCTGAGCTGTGTGGATGTGGGGTCAGACTCCCAGGGGACAATATATGGACGACCATTGGTTATCCAAAAGTCTGCCTTTTAAGGGCTTTGCAGTTCCCTGTGTGCTGGCTGGAGAGGTGGTCAGTGGAGCAGGGTTTGCTGTAGCTGGGGCACAGCCTTCCTGCTTCACCCCTCTCCCACATGACCAGAGCCTTGCAGGGGGATCGGGATGAGCTCTGCTGCAGTGAGAGTTACTGTTTGTGGGGTTTGCAGCAAATCCTGCCTGTGGGGTAGCTCAGAACAGCCAAGAGGAAGGGGAAATACTTTCAGTTCCAAAATCGCAGCTGCTCAGAATGGTTTATCCACCTCCTGCAAGAAATGGATCTTGCAGAAGGCAGCTGAGATCCTCTGGCGCCAGAGGACAAAGGAAATCCCAGCTGTTGGCTCGAAGGGATGCTGCCCGAGGAACAGGGCTCTTGCTTTCCAGGAGACTGTCTCTCTCTTTGTGGGTAGATTGTTTTCAGGAATTTTTCCTGTGCCCTCTTAGCCAGGGCCTTTTGTTTTGGGTGCTGCGTCCCTGTGCTGCGGAGATCTCTTGGCAAATATTCCCTCTTCCCCAGCCAGTCTTGTCCAGAGTGCCAAAGCCAAGCCCCTCTCCTTGGTGTCCCCTTGCCAGTGCAGAGCTGGGCTGGAAATATAATCAGCTGCAGGAAGCTGTGGGATGGGAGACTGTTAACGATGGAATATCCAAACCTTTCCAAAGCTGGAAGGGAGAGGGGACCTTGCTGAAAGCCAGCCAGGCTGCAGCTGAGTTGGAACCCTGACCTGTTTGATTCCCTCTCATGTCTTCCTTCTGGGTTGGCTTCCTATAGTTGTTGTTTTTTTTAATATTGTTTCTGAAGGAATTGGTTTGATTTCAGACTGGACAGTTTTTGGGCCATTGAGTTGCAGGGCTAATCCAGGCCTTCACTGGAAGGTGTCTTCATTCAGTTTTCCAGCAGCAGGAGCTGAGCTCCCCTGACCTGAGCCAGAGGCAGGTGAGGGCATCAGGCTCTGTCCCGCTCTGTCCTTTCAGGTTTGTTATTCCTCCCATCCTGTCTCACCCTACCAGGCAGGTCTGGAGGTTCTGTTTCCCCTTTTGAGATGGGAACTGATCTTGGCATGAAGAGAACTGCCCAAGAGATGTGATGGGCTATTTCCTGCTTGAATGGTTGTGGAGCAGAGGTGACTTGTAGGAAGGACCCAATAATCGAGGTGGTTTTGGCAAAGATCATGATAAATGATGTTCTAACACTTCATTTTTCTTGGGTTTGTGGATTTTTTGTGTGTTTAGCTCATACTGTACTAGCCTGAGGCCCAGAGGCTGCCTCAGGGCCAGCAAAGCACTTTGGATGCCAAGTGCAGAAAATGTGTGCTGTGATTATCTTTTTAAATAATCCCATTTTACATATCTGTGGTGGCTTCCTGTAAATGCATTAATATGCTGAGCCAGCCTCAAAAGGAAGTATTTTTGGCCTCTTGAGTCTTTTTATTTAAAAAAAAAAGAAAAAAGGGAAGAAAAAAGTGGTATGACCCAAATTGAAAATGGTTTGTAAGGAAAGAGGGTTTGCCTTTGACTCTGAGCTGGCTGAGGCAGGTGGGCTGTGTGGGGTTGTGCTTGTCCCGGTGTCTCAGGTTTCCCTGTCTCCATCCTCAGATTGAACTGGCCATTCTCCGCTTCCCGTATGAGTCCTGGGGGACCCCTTTCCAGCAGCTCAAGCAGGTGGTGGAGGAGCCCTCTCCCCAGCTGCCTGCTGACCGCTTCTCCAAGGAGTTCGTGGACTTCACGGCGCAGTGGTGAGTCTCCAGCAGGGACTGGTGGCTTCTCCCAGCCTGGCTGGTGAGGAGCCTTGATCCATAGGGGTTGGAGTGAAGCATGGGGCTGGGTTTGAGATCCTTTTGGAACCTCTTTTTCCCCACCTTGCCATACCAGGGCTGGTGCTTGGCATGGCAGGAAGTGCTGCCCAAACTGGTTTTGCTCTCGGCCTGACTCACCGGGGCTGGCTGGAAGGCACAGACGTTTCCCTTCTGCTTTTGCTGTTGCTGCAGCTGAAATTTTGGTGTTTTCTGGCCAAGTGGCAATGAAACCAGAACAAACCCCTGGCAGCCTCTGGGTGAAAGCTGGTTTGTGGTTTTGTGGGAAGCTGTTCCCCTCAGGGTGTCCCCTGCTCCCTGTGTGCTGCTTGGAGGTGCCAGGCAGTGGTGAGCCCACCCTGTGGCTGGTGGGAAACCACCTCTCCTCCCCAGTTGTTCTGGTCTATGTGGGGCAGGCTGCAGAGCTGCTTGGCTTGTGCTTTTTGTGGCAAAACACTGAGTTGTCCTCTCCCAGTTACCTGCCTGGCTTCTCTGCTGGTGGTTCAAACCTGCTCAGCCAAGGAGGGAGAGGGGATGGGTGCAGCCCACGAGAAACATGTCGTGTTGGTTGGGAAGGGGAGATCCCCTGTGATAGACCACGTGCAGCAAAAGAAAAACATCCTACAGCCTTTCTCTCCCATTGTTTTTTCTCCCAGCTTAAGGAAGAACCCAGCTGAGCGAATGAACTATTTAGAACTTATGGTAAGTGTGGAGCTGTTTCTGCTGGTCTTTATGCCAAAGCATTTCGAAAGTCAAATCAATGGTCCAGCAGGTTCTAGGGAAATGGGACAACAGGATGAGTGGGTGATTTTTCATGCATGGAACGGGATGGGTGTAGCGTGTCTAAGGTGGAAGGGTGTGTTGATTTCATGGGTGTTAAGGTCAGGGTTTATTAGGTGTTATCTCCCTCTGTCCTGTCTGTTCTTGGAGAGTTTAGACCTCAAAGTGTGATAGTACAGCTGCCAAGATGGGGTGTCCCACTGGGGTTGAACCTAGAAATGCCAAAGTTCATCTTTGAGCTGAAGGATGTTGTCCTTGGGAGGCTGGGGAGGAGGTTGGTGCCCACCCCCAGCACCTCCCCAGCTGTGTGACATCCCCCAGGGTCTGTGCTTGGGCTTGTCTGTCCTTGGGCGTCAGCTGATGTTGTCTTTGGTCTCGTTGGCAGGAACACCCATTCTTTACCTTGCATGACACCAAAGAGACTGACATGGCCTCCTTCGTGACAGAGATCCTTGGAGAAGACTCCTAACTCCCAACAGGAGCACAGCTCCCGGCTTCCTGCAGCCCCTCCGTCCCGGCTCCCCCGCAGAAGAGCGAACGAGGACTTGAGTTGATGGTGGTTTGCACACATTGCACCTCCCCAGCCTCCCCAGCCCGGGGGCACCTCTGGCCCCATCTGGCCTTGCAATCTCTTTTTCTCTTTGCCTTGTGAAATCCCCCAGGATGAGCCTTTTGAAGCCAACACCTTTCCAGCTAAGCCGTGGGGACAGAAGGCTCAGGAGCTCCCCGCTGATGCCAGCGCATCCCTCTCGGGGACAGGACTGTGCCTGTGGTCCCTGAGCAGGCAGAGGATGCCAGAGGGCATCTCCCCTCCCCAGAAGCCTGTGCACAGTGCAGGGGGTTGTGTTTCTTTGCTGCCTGGGGAAGGCAGAGAGAAGCAATGCTGCTGTGCTTGCACCACTCCTGCCTGCCCAAAGTCCCTTCCTTGGAGTCTGGTCTCGCTTGCCTTCCTTTTGTGCCTGGTTCTTTGTTCCCAGGACCTACACAGCCTTTTAAGGGGCTGTGGGACTCCCTGGGTGTGCTGCTTTTCACACCAGAGGCTGTTTTGATGCCTGGCTCTACACCTTAATGACCCTTTGAGGCAGCAAGTCAGGCATCCCCCTCCCTCAATTGATTTGCTGCTCCCTTGTGGGGGGAGAAAAAGGGCATTTTTTCATGAGCCCACCTTGGCACACGCTGCAGCCCACGCTGTTCCCACTCCTGCCCACGGGACTTCATCCAGCACTCCCTTCCCTCGTGGGCACAAGGTGATGGAGAGACAGCAGGTCCTTGGTGCTGCCTCTCTCCCTCCAGCCCTTGGCTCGGAGGAGACATCCCTGCCCTGGGCATCACCTTCCACAGCCCTGGCTGCCACCACCTCCCCTGGCTCCTGGAGAAGACGCTGCTCCATCTCCCTTCCAACCTGGAGCTGATGTAAGACCTCGCACTGTGACACCCACTTGTTTTGGAGGCTGAACTCACACTCCTCGTGTCCCAAACTGCCTCCAACCCCTCCAGCTGCCCAGGTGTCAGTGGGAGCCAAACCCCAGTGACTCGCCCGGGGCTGCCGCCAGTTGTACATTTGATGTCTATATATAATGGACTTTGTAACATGTTTCCTAGTTTTAATCTAACTTGCTATAAATTAAAGCCCTTCTGTGTGGGAGGAGGGAGGAGCAGTTCCTTCTCTCCTGACAAATCCACTGTGAAAACCTGATGTGTTTCCCCACGCTCCCAGCCCGAAGGAGCCACGGGAGCAAGGAGGGATTTCTGGCTTCTACTGTACATGATCACAGATAAATGCACCGGCTGTGGATTTTGGTGGGTTTTTTTTTTTAATAATTGAGTTTTTCAGAAGGATTTTTTTTCTTTTCTAATATATATTTGTGTGTGTGTGTATGTGTGCGCTATATATATATATTATATATATTTTTAAATCGATGATGAATGTGTGAATATCTATGTGGCCAGCAGATTTGGTTGAA